GGGGGGGGGGGGGGGGGGGGTGTGGAGAGCAGAGGTGGAGGGTGAGCTAGCCAATTGGGTGCGGACCCCACCCTAGACACACATCTGTTTCAAACCAGCATGTGAGCAGTTTGCAAGCCTGGGAACTGGGACACCAGGTCAGTGTGTCTCTCTCTCTCTCTCAATTCCACCTCACTCCACCTGCGCCCCTGCCCGGTGAACCCCCAGAGCATCATGACTGCACCCCCCATGGCCTCTCCTGCCTGGCTCCCAGCCTGCCTTGCAGCCCCATCCTGGCCACAAGAGTTCATTTACTGCCTCCCAACCCAGATGGGGTAGGTTGCTTGCTTCTGCACCTTTGAGCTCTCAAATTTCCAGGCTCCAAGGCTCCCTTCTCTTCTCCCCGTCTTGATGCAGCCCTTCCTTTCAGCCCTCCCCCCAGGAGGCCTTCCCTTCCCCACCACCCAGATTCACCCTGGCTCTCCTGCACAGGACTTTGTGTCTAGGCACTGCGTCACCTGTCTCTGGTATGCAGTTCTACCTTCTCTCTGTCCCCTCAGAACCCAGCAAAAACAGGCCTCTGCGAGCCCAGTGGTCTTCAAACTTGGTGCCTCAGAATGCTGGGGAGTGTTTGTCAAAACACAGGTCTAGGGTGAAGCTCAGAAATTTACATTTCTAGCAAGCTCTCAGGTGAGGCTGATGTAACTGGTCTGGGGACACACTTTAAGAACCACATAGGGGCCCTTCCGAAGACGACGCGGGCGCGGGTGCTGCGGGGCCGCGCTCCTCCCGCTCCTGCTCCTGACTCACCGCTGTTCGCTCTCGCCGAGGAACAAGTCGGTCAGGAAGCCGCGCCGCAGCTATGGCTTTTAAAGACACCGGCAAGACGCCCGTGGAGCCGGAGGTGGCCATCCACCGGATCCGGATCACGCTCACCAGCCGCAACGTGAAGTCTCTGGAGAAAGTGTGCGCGGACCTGATCAGAGGCGCGAAGGAAAAGAATCTCAAAGTGAAAGGACCCGTTCGCATGCCTACCAAGACTTTGAGAATCACCACCAGGAAAACGCCCTGTGGCGAAGGTTCCAAGACCTGGGATCGCTTCCAGATGAGAATCCACAAGCGGCTCATCGACTTGCACAGTCCCTCCGAGATTGTCAAGCAGATCACGTCCATCAGTATCGAGCCGGGAGTTGAGGTTGAAGTCACCATTGCTGATGCCTGAGTCAAGTATTTTAATAAATTGATGCCACTTGTTAAAAAAAAAAAAAAAGAACCACATAGGGGCCAGGCACGATGGCTCACACTTGCAATCCCAGCACTTTGGGAGGCTGAGGCAGAAGGAACGCTTGAACCCAGGAGCTCCAGACCAGTCTGGGCAACATGATGAGACTATGTCTCTACAAAAAAATTTAAAAATTAGCCAAGTGTGGTGGCACATGCCTGTAGCTCCAGCTACTTGGGAGGCTGAGGCGAAAGGATCACCTGCTCCCAGGTGGTTGAGGCTGCGGTGATCCGGGATCATGCCACTGCACTCCAGCCTGGGCAAGACACCGATTCAAAAAAAAAAAAAGAGCCACTTAAAGATGCCCTTTCTGGGCAGACACAGCACTTCAGGCAAAAGGCCAAACTTGGGCCTGTGCTCACCCTCAACAGGGCCCTTGAGTTGGATGCAAGCAGCCAGTCATTAGCTGCCCCAACCCTGGCTCTTCCTGCCCTGCTCTCCCCATTCCATGCTCCAGACCCAGAGAACTCCAGAGCTCCCAAACACCCTGCTGTTGTCATTCAGTTGTTCTTTCCCCAGCACCTTAAGGAAAGCCTCTGTGTCCCAGGCACCAACCCAGGAGACACAATAGGGAATCTCAGGCCCTGTTTCCATCATGCACAGACTTTGTGGATGGTCTTAGGCACCTGGACTCAGCTGCTCAACTTTCCTGACACCTTCTCATTGCTTTCATACCCTTCCTTCTTCCCAGGCAGCAGACAGTGAGGGACGCATATTATTTTCCTCTTTGTCAGAGTGATGCATTTAGCCCCAGAGAGGCTAAGAGAGGAGAGTGAGTCAGTGGGGACAGGCTGCCGTCCTGCCCTGGCGCTAAATCTGTGTCTCCTGCCGGGGCTGCCTGGGTAGCTGGCCCCCAGGGACCCGTGTGCACAGCTGCCTGGTCAATACTCTGGCTCAGGCATCTGCAAGCCTGTCCTCACACGCTGGCCCCAGCCTGAACCCTGTGCCTGTCCCTCCCGTCTGCTCCCCCTCTGTTCTCCATGTCACAAAAAAGGCGCAGTCACCACCCTGAGCCAACTCAGAAATCCAGAGGTCATCCCGCACTCTTTCCCTTCTCGCTCCTCATGGCCAGCGGAACACCCTGTCCTGTCCTGCTCCTCTTGGGTCCCTGGTCTCCCTCCTCCACAGAACCATGCCTGTCTCTGCTCAGGCCACCACATTTTCCCAGTTTCATCGCCACGGTAGCCTCCTCTGTTCCCACTGACGGCCACAGGGATCTCTCTGTCCCCACCACTGCCTGAACCATCTTCGCTCGATGACTGTATGATGAAATGCAGACCCTGTCGTCAACTCCCATGACCCTTCGTGGTCACACACCTCCCAGCTTCCTTGGCCCTCCACAATCCCTGGCCCCACCACACCAAACTGTTCAATATCCCCAAAGCAGCTTTTCAGAAGGCCCTTCTCTTCCACCCCACCTGCCCTCCTACCGTCTTCCAAGTATCAGTGGAAGTCATCAGTGGAAGACTCCTCCAAGAAGCCTACCCTGACCACCCCTGCCTGCATTAAGATTCCCTCCTCTGGGTCCCACAGCCCCTATATGTCCCTCTTTCCCAATACTGAATCCACAATATTGAAGTCATCTGTTTACTAGTCTGGGAGAAACCTGAGTGTCAACACCATGTCCTCCTCATGTGTGTATCCTCGGTGACCAGCACAGTGCCTGACACACGCTTACTAAATGTTCATTGGCTAAATAAATGGACAAGTAGACAACACAGAGAGTCACCTTCTAACCAGAGACAGTACAGGAAATTGTCTTTCATGACTCAGGAGGGGCTCTTGCTTCTTCCTCAGTCCTGCAATAAGATTGGGAGTTCACAACTAAGGGGTATAAGGAGAGAGCTGGCTGGAAAGCCATCTCACTCAAGTGCTTGGCACCGAGAGTGTCGGCACCAGCTGCCCCCACCCCCAGGGAGGAGCAGACACAGCCACGCAATGACCTTGACCTAAGTGATGAGCCACTGTCCCTCCAACAATGTGCTCAGACATACATAGAAACAACAGCTGGGCAGCTGGGCCTTTGTTGGTGTTAAATTTAGCCACTGGGATGTCACCCTGAACTATGACCACCCCCTCCGCCCCGTGCCCAGGCATGTCAGGGGAGGCAGTCACCAAGACCGACAAAGGGCTCTGCCTTTGTGTCTGGTGAGCACTCAGTCTGCCTCCCCACTTTCCTCCTCCCTCCATTCTTCTCCAAACCCCCATGCCTCCACAGATCCCAGCCCTCTTTCTTCTCTCAGTGTCACACTCCTGCCCCTACCCGTGACTTTTTTGCAGGAGCCTCGGGGAGGCGTTGATTAGGAAGGGGCCTTCTCAGTCAGCAGATCTAAAGAAGTTCCTTCAAGACCCCAACCAAGGTGGGATACCCTCTCCAAAACTCAGTGCCTTCTGAGAGTAGGGCTTCCGTGGAGTCCCAGGCTTCTCACACTGTGACGGGTACAGGGAGGCTGTTACACTTCTCTCTGTGCAAGAAAGAGAAGCCCCCCTTTGCTTCCTTCTATGTGCTAAGAAGACTCAGCTGCAGAATTGCAAAGCCCAGCCCTCAGATGCTCACTGTCAGTCCAGCAAGGAAATGCAGGCACATTACACCCAGAGCACAACCACTGAAGCAAAGGTACATCAAACAGGGGGCTCAGGGATCCAGGATGAGATTAATTCTCCCAACCAAAGTGGGAGATGGAAGTGGGTCAGGCCTCATAAGACAGATCCATCTGCCCCCCGTGGCGGACTGTCCTTGGTGGTGCTTCTCAGAGAGGTCCACCAACTTGGGGGAGAGCATGATTTGTGCACACAGTGCCAGGGCAATGAAGGGTAACACTGCTGGAGCCTTGTTCTTCCCCACCAGGCACTCATGGGGGGAGCAGGTGGAGCCAGTTTTATTTGTGTCCTTGATGAAGTGTTAATTGTACTAAATTAAATCTGGTTGGCACACATAGAGCACTTCTAGGTATGAAAGTGTGATGGAGCATAGCGCTTCTAGGTGTATTATATCATGGAATGTCATGGCTCCTTGAAAAAAATGGCGGATTGAAAAACTGTTGTTAGTTGGACTTGAATATTTTCCCAGTATGGCAAGAAAACGCAAATGTTATTGTATGTATTATAAGTGTTTGGGAAGTTTGAATATATTTATATGGGCAACAAAGTAGGGTTCCTGAGCCCCAAAAGCTTGGGAACTACTATCCTGTGTAAAAACATAGAGGTTATTATTGTTATCATCCTGATTCACATTATCATCTATAAAATAAAATAAAATGAAAGTAATCAAGAAAAAATAAAGTATGATTTTTAATTCTGTTCAATGGCAGCCAGTAATAGGATTCAATCAATAAATTTTTAATATTCAAGTTATTGAGTATAAGATCGACCATTGATAATGAGCCCTGGGGATTTTGTGTTTTAATAACATGTCCTGGTCGGGTGCGGTGGCTCACGCCTATAATCTCAGCACTTAGGGAGGCCGAGGTGAGAGGATTGCCAGAGCTCACAGGTTCGAGACCAGCCTGGGCAACTTGACAAGACCTCATTTCTACAATAAATCAAAAAATTAGCCGGGCATGGTGGCATGTCCCTGTAGTTCTAGCTACTCGGAAGACTGACGCAGAAGGATCGCCTGAGCCCAGCAGGTAGAGGCTGCGGTGGCCGTGAGTGTGCCACTGTACTTCAGCCTGGATGACAGAGTAAGACTCCGACTCAAAAAATACAATAAAATAAAATGTTCTTAAGGTTCTGCATGAAACAACTTCATTATAAAACTGTAATTTTTGTTTCAGTCCTTCTCTGTGTGTGTCTTTATGTGAGAAAATCTGGACACTGTCGGACCTAGTCCCAGGAACTGAATTTCTATTCCTGCGAGAAAGAGATGAAGTTCTTTTTCTTGCCACCAGAGAGAGCACTAGTGGTGCGTGTTTGTGTGTGTGTGTGTGTGTGTGTGTGTGTGTGTGTGTGTGTGTGTGTGAAAGAGAGAGAGAGAGAGAGAGAAGACAGGGAAAGACAGAGAGAGACAGAGAAAGAGACAGAGGCAGAGAAAGAGACAGAAAGAGAGACACAGAGAGAGACAAAGACAGAGGGAGAGACGAGACACAGAGAGAAAGAGAGATGCAGGGAAAGATTATGTGGGCGACTTGTTTGCAATCAACTATGTACAGATATGGCTTGCTTGTACAAACTTCATAGTGGAGGACCTTATGTGAATGTCCCTTCTCCCCATTTCAGCCCCTGCTCCTCCCACCCCACCCAGATGATAATCAAAAGTGTTTCCAATCCCAGCCCCTTATTCATCATTCCCCAAAACTTCCCTGCACACATTCCTTGTTCACAGCTAGATAATCTGAATTGATTCCAGGAGGAAAGCTTGGAGATCAACAAACACAGATTATCTAATAGAAGCATTTTGCAATGCAATTACTGTAACCTCAATGCAGCTGCTTTGAAAATGTTTATCTTTCTTAAAGTGAGGTCTCCTTGCAGTCCAGGAATTCTCTTGAGAATGTAAGTGATTACGTGGTTCTTTACTTTTGTGGAGGGGTGATTTGAACTTCCTTTGAAACTGTTCAAAATCCACAGACATTCACACTCTCTTTTTGAAAGCTGTGGACCACGCCACCCACACCAATTCCAGGGGGCTCAGAGACCCACTGGAATCCACTCAAGAACACACATAAAGGTGGATGCCTGAACTCTTAGCATGTGCAAAACTGTCTCCAAGGGCTTAGAGATTGTTTAATCCTGGAAGAAACACCTGTGATAGTGCCTGCTCCTCTTTGGGCATGGCCAAGGGCGAGGAGGCCGAAGAGAACTAGGATTTGGGGGCTGAGAAAGAAAGCGGGAGAGCAGGCTGCTGACACGACACTAGAGGGTGATGTGGAGCAGGAATGAGCTGACGGTTCCTGACTCCTCCCAAGGCCCAAGAGTGAAGAAAATTCCTACTACTGTTTCCACCATTTAAGGATGTTGATGTCCAGGGTGCCTTGTGGCATCTCCCA